CATACCTAGCCCGCGTTCCGCGCTCACAAGTCGAGAGTGAGGACGGGGGGCTATAATCTTAGTCACAGCAACCAACGAAATACACAATATCCATGTCATGATGTCATGATCATACAAGGCTCATACACTTGTTGCTCCATTACATACCGACCTGATGATAGCAGCCTCTCGATCGGTACCGAGTTCGGTAGATGAGCCGGAACAGCGGTAGTACGAGCCTCGAAGGTGGCTTGTGAGAAGGAGTAGAAGGTCTCCGGTCGTGGATACGGTATTCGCTTTTTGACTATTGCTAACTCAGGGCAAGCAAGGAGAAGAGAAGGAGGAGGCAAGGGGACTGAGCAACCTAATAGCCTCTAGACGGGGCCCGGCAAACCGGACCTTACTGTTAGTACCTGTTAGGAGTAACGCACTCTCCCAAAGGTACACCTCCTATCAACCGTAGCAATGTAACCGTAACAGACGTGCGCCACCTCACCGAAATGCCGTCGGAAAAAATGCGGGGAGATGATCTGTTTTTGGTCGGACACGTCAACATCAATCCACGGCACCACGCGGCAGCAGAGCAACAGGGCCTCCGGCACGCTAATTCTTTCGGATTGGCCATCTATACGATGCTTGCCGTCAGCGCGGCTGCCGCCCTATGATTGTTGAGCTTGTCTACCTTTGGGCAGTTGGTGGTCAAAGATGGGAGTCGCAACCGTGAAAAATGAGCTGGCAAACTGAAGAAATCGCAAGCAACACAACTGCATCCCCCCCCTCGGCATGCTCCCCGGTCGGGGCCGAAATCGACCTAGTCAGTCCCTCGCGGGCAAACTAGGCCACAACAGATAGTAGGCGGGTGGTGTCCCAAGGTGCACCTCACCGCCGCGCTGGCTCAGCGTGGCGGTGAGGATGCACAGACGGTGGTAGTGGCGAAAAGTGTGTATGGACACTGTTCCCGCGGCAGTAATGCAAAGCAGCAAACTGCACCTGGCAACCACCGTCGTCGTGGAAAGCGTGGCCCATGAAGCTGGAGGAGTAGAGAGATTCGTAAAGACCACGTCAGTAAGCACCGCTCGCGGGAGAAGGGAGTCAACCGCGGGCACCGCGGGGAGGAAGTGCTGCACCCTCCTCGTCAAAACACCACAGGCAAGAACCGAGCTCTGCAGAGATGGATTGATGCGAGGAAATTCGCCGCTCGGAAAATACGGAAGAAAGCACACCCGCAACGCGAGGTGGACCGAGAGAGACACGAAACCGCAGCGGCCGTCAAGGCGACTGCGAAGAAGAAGGCACGAGAGGGCGACCTATCGTTCGGCACGTTCAAAGTACGCACGCTCGCCTACAGCGGTAGGAACCCCATCGGTCACAACGTGATGACGGTCATGCAGATTTGTTCCGCGACCGGCTGTGATGTGATAGGACTTCAGGAGACCCGACGAGAGGGGCAAGGTTCAATTGCACACGACGGGTACGTGATCATCTGGAGTGGCGCCCGTGCTGGCACCAAGGACAAGAGGGGCGTACACGGTGTGGGCATAGCGATCAAGGAGGCCATGTGGGAGAGTGTGGGCGAGGAAGGTAGGACGGTGGAGTGCATTAGCCCGAGGCTGATGAAGGTGCGTCTACAAATTGGCCGCACCTGCGGAGTAACTTTCGTGGTGGGGTACGCCCCCACGGAAACTGTCCGCACCACCGCGGGCGGTGATGTTAACGCCAAGGACTCCTTCTGGACTGCTCCCGACGCAGCGATCCGGGAGGTTCACAGCCGTGACCATCTCGTGGTGCTAATGGACGCCAACGCACGCACTGGTAGGAGGCGAGACGGGTGCTGCGATGCCAAGATTATGGGCGCGTACGGACGCGACATTATGAACAACAACGGGGAACGACTCCTTGGACTGGCATCAGACAACCAACTCTCCCTGACCAGCACCTGCTTCCGGAAATGTGGAGTGCAGCACACATTCCAGAGCTCCAACAAGGGAAAGGAGAAGTACCGCCTCGACTTCATCCTCATGCGTCAGGCGGACCGGCGTTTCGTGCGCAATGTCTCCGTCAAACGTGTCGACTTCAAAGACTCTGACCACAACCTCGTGCTTACGACTGTCCGCCTCCCCCCCCGTGTCGCACCCAACCGACGAGTGCGGGGGAACAGCGGAAGCAGCCGGATCCGTATCGACCTCGAGCGGTTGAGGAAGGACAAACACCTACGGGTCGCCTTCCAAAACAGGGCCTCCAGCCGCCCTCCGCCCACGGCGCTCAGGCGGCCAACGGGAGAGACCGCCGCCGAGCTGATTGCTACGGTGATGTCGGCCGCCGCTGAGACCGTGCCGCTGGCGAGGTGCGCACGAGGGCATAGAGGCTGGTACACGAGCGAAGCGCAGCACGAGATCTCCGAAGTGTCTCAGAAGATTGAGGCGGCCCAGCAGCAACTGCGTGGGGCCTCAAGGAACAGCGCCCTCGAGGCGACCCTGAAGGCGATGCTCAAGGCGGCGCGGAAGAAGCGCAGCATCGCGAGGTGGAGAGCACTGGAAACGTTCTTCGAGGGCTGTCTACGGCAGCTCGAGAAGAAGAGCCGCGAGGGGGATCAGGCGGGTTTCTACAGGCACCGGAAGATGATCGACGTCGAAGGTAAGAGGTCGTTCACCTCTCAGAACATCAAGGACGAGGACGGCAAGGTCCTTCGGGACCCCACGTTTATTCGCCAACGGTGGGCACGGTGGTTCCACAAGCTTCTCAACACCAAGTCGCCGACCATCGACCTGCATGCGGCTGACAAGGTCAAGCGGTGGTCCACGTGCGTGCCACTCGACGACATCCCATCTCTACTCGAGGTTTAGCAAGCGGTACGGGAAATGGCCAACAGAAAGGCCGTCGGGCCGGACGACCTACCGGCTGAGTTGATCAAGATTTTCCTGGACGGAGATCAGGGTATCCTCCGCGAATCCCACGCCGTTTTGGATACGATGGAGTGCGGCAACTACCGGGGCATCTCTCTCGTCGCACACGCCGGCAAGGTGCTGCTTAAGGT